TTTTTTTTTTTTTATTTTCTTTTATTTTCTATATAATGCTTTTCACATTATTTTAAAACTATAACATCTTTACCTGTAATATGCACATAAAATTCCTTTCCTCTAACCGTATTTAAACTAAAAAAAATTTCATATTATATTTGAACGGAAAGAAGAGAGAAGCGAAACAAATTAGTCTTCTGAATAGAGAAAAAAAATAAAGCACATAACAGTATATGAGTAATGTAAATTTATAAATTTCATGACATACTCATATTCTCATGTAGTTTAAATAACATTAACTTTAAAATTGACTGTACTTATACAATAATGTGAGATTTTATTCAAATGTAAATATGTGTGTGTACATATATCAAATTAATTTGCATTTTACCGATTTGCTTACATTACATATTTAGATGTCCATGTCATTTATTATTATTATTACAAAATATTGCTACCATATTTACATATACTATTCCATATGATTAACAATCATTTGTTATGTACATTTTTATTATATAGGTAGTGTAGTACACGCTATTTTCTAATGAAGAAAACCATGTACTTTCAAATTCAATTCACAAAAAAAAAATTTAAAATTAAAATTGTATTTATTTTTGTTCTTTTATAGTTTACTTTATTTATTTTTACTCTTATTTTATTTTTTTATTATTTTTATATTGTATTAAAATTTAATTTTTTATATTTTTCTTGTATTTTTTTAAATAAATTCAAATTTAACCCACTTTAAATGAATCACATAAAATATGTTTGTTTGTTGTATTGTAATTTGTACTAATATATGTATGTATGAATGTGTTTGCGAGTATAACAATAATTTTTATAATTTTCTATATTCAAATTTTAATATGCTCTCGAATTGAACTCAAATTTCTTATAAATTTTTTTTTTTAATTTGACCTTGATTCACCTGTTCTATAAATGAGATTTTATATATATTTTTTTTTAAACATGAATAATTCTAAGGACTAAATGTAATTTATATTGATTTAAATTTAAAACTTTTATAATTAAAATGAAAATTATTTAGGTTAATTGAAAATTTTTTCGGTAGAAATAAGTAGAACGGATAGAATCGGAAAATTCAAATTTTTAGTTGAGTATTTTACGTATTCATAATTCATAAAAATTATCGTGAACGAAGTAAATATCAGTAAAACACACGAAGTGAATTTTTTAGAGAACAATGTTATTCTTATCAATTTCTATTAAAGGTTCATCTGTTTCTCATTACATTAAATATTTTCACATTATTATTATTTAATTATTTACAAAAATCTTATTATCAATTTCGATTACCGATTTTAATTAATAATTTCGATTATTAAAATTTAAAAAATTAAAATAATTTATGTATTATAATAAGAAACTCAATGTAACAAGGACTCAGAACTTTCAAAATTTTTTATAAATGCTTAAATACTACTCTTATTTTCAGTTCAATGCGTCTGCTCTCTGACTTACTATAAGCTTCATCGAGTTGTTATAAAAGCATGAATGTTACAGTAGCCGGATACCTTAATTGTGGTACATTTTGTTTTCAAAAAAAAAACCTAAAATTTTCTTAAATTTTTAATTTTGTACCCAATACGTCTTCAATGTCAAAATAAGCTCTCTTTCCCCCTCCTATTTTTTTTTTCAAAACTCTCTTTCTCTTCCTCCGTTCTCTGTTTTTTCTATATACAATTTATTCGTTCATTAATAATACTAACAATTTAAATTATTAAAAAAAAATTTACGATATTGAATATCAGTTTCATCTTCTTTTATTTGCGATATGGTTACCATAGGTAACCCATAATATTATTTGTTATTCATTTAATTTGAAAAGAATTTTCATATTTCCTACATACATACACACACAGGTATATAATGTATACGCAATAATATCAAAATCATTATTATCATTGTAATGATTACAATCACATATGGTATACATATATTCACACATGTATGTAGTTATCATTGTTACTTAGGTATTTATTTATTCATTTAAGAAATCGACAATATACAACAAGTTTAATAGAAAATTTCATCTGAATAAGTAAAAAAATTTTTAAAAATTTTTGTTCATTTGCATATGTATGTATGTGTTTGTGATTATGTATGTATACATTCTCACATTGTTCAATAAATGTAAAGTTCGCTTTTCCTTTTCTATATTTACATATTTTTTTTTTTTTTTTATATATATATCAATTTCAATTTTTAACAATTGAATTGAACCAAATTGAAAATGGGAACCTTTATAGAATAAGTGAAAAATAATAACAAAACTTGTTCCAAATTGTCTACACTCTACACTCTACAATATTGTCAAGTTTATTTTTTCTATTTTTATGTTTTTTTTTCATTTTTCATTCTTTTAAAACTTGTAACCTTCTTAACTTTTATTTTTCTCTTACTTTTTTCTATTTTTACTCATTTCTCTTCATATTTCTCATATACATACCATATGTACATAAATGTCTACATAATATAGTATGTAGACATTTCTCTTTCCCTGTGATGCAAACAGGTGTGCCCCACAAAATTGTATATTTTCCATAATAATATGAGAAATATGGAAAACTAAATAAGAACTAATATAGTTTGTATGTATGTATATAAAATTTTTCATATTATGCATGTCATTTGATAAGTTTGTAGGAATATGTGAAATAAAATAGCTATCAATATTACATTCATATGTACATACAAAAATAAATCCATTGTAAAAATTATAACAACAACAATAAAAATACATATGAAATTTTTATCGATAATCATCAATATATCATTGCCAGATAGTTGCATATATACTTTGTATATACATAGTTGTTTAGTTGTATATTATTTCAAATATGATTCTTTTTGACTAAGTAAGTAATTTATGTGAAAATAATAAGGTAGATAATTTTTTTTTTGTTTAGTATAAATAACGATATTTTATGTATGATAAATGATTGTTAATATTGCCATTATGTTTGTACATACAGTCAGACCTCGCTTATAAGAACATTTACAATTTATTACAATTTTTTTATGAACTACCTCAGTCACACTCAAGTTTCCACTTATAAGCACAAATTTTGCTTCTAAGCTAGTTTTGTAAGTGTTATGTAAAGTAACGAACATTTGAAAGAGTTATACAAACAAAATTTCGTATAGGGCACGAAATGTTCATGCAGATCATGATGCATTGTCATTCAAATATACAAGTTTCAAGTATGGAAGTATAATTTATAATAATTGTAATATCAAAATTGTGTTTTTGATAAAATTAAAAAAATTTGGCGCTAAAGCTTTTTTTTCCTTTTAAAAGGACCTCGAATGCAAACAAGTATATGCGAAAAATTTTTGCATGATATTGCTTGTAACAGACCTGATTATGGAGCTGACTGTATATTTCTGTATCTTCTATTTCTGGTTAAAAGTATATTTTCCCATTTAATATACAATGTATTTAGTAAATTCGAATTCCTTAAATTGAAAATCTATAGAAATCTAATTATTCTTTATTCTTTATTCTGAATTTAAAATGTTTCTAAACATTATTTATACACGTACTCGTACAATACTTCAATATGTTGTTATAAAACTGTATGCATTATGTATAATATAAAGGTGTATAACGCCATAACCTGTGGTAATTTTGAATTTTCACATATCGCATATAATATTTTAATCCTTACAATATAACAAAAAGTAATCATAATAAAAATAATAAAAATGAATTGAATTCAACTTTCTCAAACAATCAGTAAGTCTATTAAGTTCGAATAGAGCACATTAAACTTTTATACAAATATATTGTACACAACAGTTTATAATTTATGCTTGGAAACATACATACAAACATACCTAACATTATGTGATTATGTCTATTTATGTAAATCATTTCTTGTATTTTATTTATAAGGTATGAAAACCATAAAAGGATTTTTTTGGTCAAAAAATAGAAAACAGAAAAATAGAAAAAGAATTAAAAAAAAATAAATTTCAATCTCATTTTCTCCCATTATGAGAATTTTATTTTACGGAATAATTTTGTATGAACTTTGAGAGTTCCAATGTTTATGTGAACGGTTATAGAGGTAAAAGCAAATAATATTAGAAATCTATAACTTTTTTTACATCTTAGCGAGATATTAAAATTAAAATGTTTTACAATAATTTATAATAATGAAATTATTATATTAAATTTGCTGTATAAATTGAATTCGATCTCTAAAAATAATTGCCGTCGATCTCCAAAAAATTAAAAAGGAAATCAAAAGAGAAATAATAGGAAATTTTTAAAAATAAAAAAAAAGTAAAAATATAAAATAAGTATAAAACAACCTCACTAAATAAAAAATATCAAATTGGGCTTGTTTACATGAGTATGCGCATTGTGGGTATGCACAGACTTTCTTTTAAGCATCTCTCTTTCTCTATCCTATAAAATTAAATATTACTTGTAGAAGAGAGCGTATGAGAAGCGCAACGTAACATACAGTATTTTAATTACCTGAGCAAGATCAAAGCAAGATAAATAAAGAAAATCGGACTTTACAAAAAATAAAAAATTTATACCAACTGATAGTCAAAATAGCACATACAAAATAAAATTTTTAATACAACAACTAAAAATGAAATGAACATCGAGCATAGTTATATATCAAATTACTTATTATCTCTTAATGTCGAGCACTGTTCTCACACTAGGAAGTACGGTACATCAACGTAATATGCGTGTGTGTCTGGAGCCAAGAGCATGTAATATTTTAGTTACGTAGTCAGACAGTCTCTTTCTTTCTCTTTCATTTAGTTTAAAATTTGAATTTAATACATAGTGTTTTTTGTAATACATTGTATATTTCTGAATTCCAATATTCGTATCGCATTGTATATTTTAGTGTTATTCATATATTTTAATTATATAAAAATTTAAAATTTCTCAATTAAAAATATTTATAAAAAAAAAACAGACATATTCAAAAAACATAAATAGGTAAATCAAAAAATTAACTTACGTCCGAGACATGTATGCTTTCTAAATTGTAAAAAACCTTCAACGCATCGGCAAGCTCCATCTAAACAGCTACTATTTGCGACTTTCATTGAACATTGTTCATGTAAAACGCAATCACTTCCCAATAATTGTGCTAAAAAATAAAAAAAAATAATACAATCATTATTTGAAATTTAAAGTACTTTTTTGTTGGGTTTAGTTAAAGTTTGAAATAAGCTAACTGTAGAACAAATTGATGGCGGGGGCAACGAAAAACGAAAATCTTCTATAATTTCATCATACCACTATAGCAGAGTTAAAGCAGCGCCCGCCTAGAAAGCAGGCACTCGTTCGAGTCGAATTTGAAATGACATTTTTTTTTTATGTTTTTGCCTTAAGACTCGTTTGGTCCACCTCAATCATTGAGTTCGGCAGTTGCATTATGTTATATTATAAAATATTCTCTTTGTTTACTTATTTTAAGTATACAATTACAGTTATTTAATGATTTGCATGAGTAATTAATCCGATAAAGTTAGAAAAGTACTATTATTACATCACCATTTATTATTGCATTGTATTTATTGTGAAAAGAACACAAAACTAATAAAAGCAGCAGCAAAAGAACAAAAAAGAATTTTTAAATAATGAATTACAACACTTTTAGTTCCTCATAACTAAGCTAGCACATTACAAAATTATATTAATTTGATATTCTCGATTTTTAAAGCTTTGTTCTTTATAAAGTTTGTTTTTTTATACTTTTAAAATCAACAGAAAAAGAACAAGTTCAAATAAAAATCCTTGCAATCCTTGATTTCTACAACCATTTATACTTTCTTTTCATTGTGGTCTTTTGCTTTTTTCCTATTTTATTTCCAGTTTTTCATTTCTTTATTTTATTTGTAAATGCTTTCGCATAATAGTGCTTTATAAAGTAGCATCAAATTTTCGTCACGATCGATATTGCATCTTCAAAAAATGGGAAAATTCTCACGATAAATTTTTCAATGCAGAAAAGAATATTACAAGAAAAAAAACAAAAAAGAGAACATAAGAAAAAAAGAACCCAAAATAGTGAAAGCAACAAAAAATAAAAATAATCAAAAAATGCAAATAAATATTGTAAAAAGATGACGTCTGTATGTGTGTGAATGTGTATTTCATATGAATGCAGAAATTAATGCATATATACAAAGTTATGTGCATTCCTAAATGGTGAATCAGCTTATGTTACGTACACAATATTAAAAGAAAATTTATTACTAAAATTCATAATCCACACCAAGGTGGTCATTAAACATGAGAAGTTACAAGAGAAAAAAATAAATGTCAAAATAACGCAAAAAACAAAAACAAAACATGCCTGCAAAAAGAAATTCTTCTATACAAAAAAGAAAAAGGAGAAAAAAAAATTTATTTGTTTATTCAAAGTCGAATCTAATTTTCTACTTATTCGGAATAGAGTACATTCAGAAAACATTCATACTCTTGAAATCATAGAGTAGCTTGTTCTATTAGTATAGGACCAAAAAGCCACACGACTGTCAGTCAACACTTTTCTGTTATCAGTTTAGCCAAAATAAATAAGGATTTCAAGAGCGGCGTTCGGCAAACTACACACGATATGGAGCAGCAGCCAGATATCCAGAACAATTAAGATCAAAATATTCCGGTCCTGTGTAAAATCAGTCCTAATGGATGCCAGAAAGATTTTGGATAACATCAAAATTCATCAGCCAAAAAGTGCAGGCATTGATCAACAGGTGCTTCATAATAATATGCCAAGTATGCTGGCCAAGTTGTATAAGCAACAAAAACCTCTGGAAAATAACAGGCGAAAAACCTATCGGTAGCCAAATAAGAAGAAGAAATGGGAGATGGATTGGACACACTACAAGAAAATCGGCCATTAATATCGCTAGAATGGCTTTAGAGTAGAATCTACAAGGTTCGAGAAAATCCGGACGTCCCAGAAAAGCCTGGCATAGATTTGTAAAGTTCGAAGTAGAAAAATCAGATCTAACATAGGGTCAAATGAAGCAAACAGCAAAAAATTGAACGACGTGGGGATGTCAAGTGGAAGCCTTATGCTCCCAAGAGGAGTAAAGAGGAAAACAAAACAAAAAGTCGATTTTCGTATGTAAAGAAGAGAGTTGGTGCTCCTTAAAGTATGCAATTTTCATATACATTTTTTTAAACTTAGTAATATTGAACTGTCTTTTCTAGCTACATACTGCTTTTCCCATCTCCCTCTCGTACCTTTTTATTCAAAATAAAATTCTTGCATTTCAACTAGATTAATAAGAAAATCTAAATTTAACTTACTTCAGCGCTAGACTTAAGTATAAAATGGAAATATATACTACTTAATACTTAAATTAGGGCCTCAGAATTGAATACATATATAATTGTACTTAGTACAACAAAACTGTAGTGTATACAGTTATTGTAACCAATTATATTAGCACAATCTCTTTATATTGGCACAAATTGTACTCAATTATATTGGCATAATCTCATAATTCTAATATGCAAATTAATTGCTCCCCATTCAATAGTGCAATTTTCGATAAAAATTTATTAATTTCTTCTGATCTAGTAAAGTGCAAATACAAAACATTTAATTGTGAACATTTAAAATATTTTTTAATATTCTAATTTCTCATCTTATATTTGTCTATATTATCTGCTTTTTTTCATAATTGAATGCTTATATTTAGATTTGCATTTATTTCAAGAACAAAAAGTAACATTAGAATCTTTGGTCTTTTCAAATACAAATACTTTGTACAAATGAATGCATTTTTAAAGTGAGTGCATTTTATTGAAAAAAAAACTGGAAATTGATACCTTCTTCCATAGTTTGTTATCATTATTGTATATTGAGTACAATAATAATAATAATTGTGTACACATACAAATACACATATAATATGCAACTGCTTATATATGAGAATAAAAATTTTAGTAACATTATAAAACACCAGTAATGTACAGTGAAAAAAAATTTGAAGAAAATTTTAAAATTTTCGTTTGTTCTTCTTTTTTTTTTATTTGTTTTGCTAGCGTTTTTTCTTTTCAATTCAAAATAAAAAAAAAACAAAAACAGCTGAACGATTCCATAATCGTGACTATTTAATAAACGCTTTTCTTCTTCATTCAAAATCATAGAATTTCAACTAAAATAGAAAAAAAAGAAGAAAAAACTTTAGACAATTTTTACACGTTTAAAAATGAAAACAAATCTTAAAACTTTTTTTTAGAAATTCTCGTTCTATTTTACTGTTTTTTCTCTTTTCTACTTGCTTTCTATGCAATATTTTGTTATATAATTTGTTTAAAATGTTCTCGAAATTTCAAATTATTTTCAAAGCAGTTAATGATAGGGAGCATGTAATAGACATTTCTTCAATTAAAAGGGAGCCACAATCAATAAATTTAAGAGTAAATACTACAGTTACTTCAGCGGTCGCAAAAACTCGGTTGAATACGGAGAAAATTTGAGTACCTTTTTCAAAAAAGGAGAGAAATGACGTATACAAATTTCTTGACGTTTATTTTTGTCACTTTTTTTAGTAAACATACATCGAAATTTAAGAAAATTTTGCGAGTCTTACAAAAAAGACATTTTCGCGCTTTCTTTATTTAAATATCTGATGAGGTGATTTTTATTTAAATATCACGTGGGTGTTCTGCTGAACATTGTCAAGAGACTTGGATTGATTTAGCGGAGAGAAGCATCCCGTTGAGGATTGCCGATTCTATTCTGTTGAGGAATTTTTTGATCGCGCTATGTAAAAACTTTGAACAAATATAAATAAAATAAGTACGTATATATGTAAAATCATAGTAAAATTTTAAATAGATAAGAAATATAGGTATAGAAAAATATTTATAGTAAAATTTAAGAAGATACTATCATCATAACTATTATCAAAATCATCTTCAACACCATTACACCAGAACATCCCACCGTATTCCTACATAACTATTATCAATATCAATATTGTGTCTGATATTTTACTAAAATGTCAATAATAATCAATATTATCATTGTAATCATCATATAATCATTATCATCATCAACGTTATCATTTTGAATCAATACTACTACAGTATAGAATACTCGTAGTAGAAAAGTAAAAAAAAATCAAATATAGAAAAATTACAAAAAAAAATAAAAATAAAAATTTTAAGAAAGAACGTTTAACTACAGATTCTAAAATATTCCCTGTATAATATGCATTGGTACTAAAAAAAAAGTACTATATTGTAGCTTCTTCTCTTTCAATATGACATTTATCTAGGTACATATACTTATATACATATATAAGTCAATTTCTATATAATTATTATTATTTTTCTTAATATGCATAAGCAATCGTGTACCTGCTGTTAGAGCACATTATGAACAATAAATGTTAAGAGCATATCTATTCAAAAAAATAATATTCTAACAAAATTTGCTTAAATATAACACTTCATAAGTATAAGGAAAAAAAGGAGAGTTGCACAAAAATTAAATTTTATTTTTTGTAGAGAACTTCTGAAACAATGAATCCAAAGTCAAAACAAAATGGTCATATCGCACTGTTGTACATACATGCAAAAACAAAATTTTTTTTAAGTGGCAAGACTAGAATGTAGAGAACATAATATTATTGTTGACTTATAAACAGGTAATACCTGTCAATGCTTCTGGCTTATATTTTTAGTGTTTATTGATAATGCAACTACTATACATATTATATTTTTAATCTACATATTATTTATGGTATGTATAGTAAAAAATTTATTCTGTAGATGCAAGTATTTCTATGTTTATGCAGATCGATGTTATTAGAGAGATATAGAAGACGATAAGGTATTAATTACTTAAATAAGCAACACAATTACATTAGAAAAAGCATAATAACATACATACATATGCATATAAAATTTATACCACGCACACCATCTATGAAAAAATTATTGTAATTATAACATATATAGAAGACGAGTTCTCTTATTACAGTAATTATGATTAAAAAATTTATGTAAAAGATTTGTTTTTGCATTCTTTACCATATAATGGTTTTTGTATGATACACGAACTTTAAGACCACATATTAGAATCTTAATAATTATTTAATAATTTTAAAAAATTATGAAAACATTAATAATTTAAATCAATTAAGGAGAATAAACTCAAAAAAAAAAAACAAAATACTAAATATAGGTTACTTATTTTATAAAATATTCAATTAAAATATAATTAAAAAATGTTAGAGTTATGAAAAAATTTTAATTAAATATTTAAAAGTAAAATCAATGAGTAATAATAATAATAATAAAAGAGAATTGACATATAATTATTGACATATTAAAAACGGGACAATTTTTCTCTCATTAAAATTAAATTTTCTCAAATAATTGAATATGCGTCTGTGTCAGTAATAATTTTAAACATAGAACGGTATATGGGAAGAATTAAAATTTATTTCACTTATAGTGAGAAAAATTGTTTAGATCTTTATAATTAATATTTATATTAAATGACTTTTTTTTGGATGTACTATATATGGTACAATCTAATATAAAAAATTAAATTGATTAGCATATATATAACAATATGTAATTTTTTTTTGAGATTTTTAGAAAATTCTCTTTCTGAGAGAATTTCTTATTTTGTTCAAGTATTAAATTATTTTCACAGAGATTGATTTCAATCATACGAGTATCATACTTATATTATTGAAATTTCAAAATTCTGGAAATACTAGAATATTTTATATGAATATATATACATTTAATATTTAAAAAATTTACTTACATGGTAAACATGTTGAATCATTTAATTGTACATAATATGGTGAACATTCACAAATATTGTCCATTGAACAAATACTATCTTTAATATAATCGGTACAATCCATATCATGTTGACAAGGTAAACCTAAGCGCATTCCATTTATTTGATAGCTCCTACTTATTACTACTATAAAACATAGTAATATCTGTAAAAAAGGATTAAAAAAATTAAGAAAATTAATGAAGTAATAAATTTTAAGTAATTAGATTAAATCTTATAATTAGGTTCAGTTTTGATAATCTTTTAAATTTTCCAGAAATGAAGATATCACAAAAACTTTCGATATCTTAAAACACAATATGATTTAAAGCTATTTAACGACAAATGTGTGTAAATAGCAAACAAATTCGAAAAATTACTACAGTTGTACGTTCACAAATAATATTTGCATATGGAATTTCAGAAATTATTTTTACTCTTTAATACAAATAGAACTTAAGTAATAAACACTAATTTACTTTAAATTCCACTATTATAAACAATAATAAAAAATTTTGTATTAATAAAGCTAAATCCTCTCTATACCCTATACATTCCCAGACTGTAATAACTTTACAGAAACTTATGTAAATAACCTTCAGCATGAATATGTTATTATCGTATTTTATTACAATATGCGATAATAGAAATTGTTATATGTATATATACATTTTGTATTGGTCATAGTTTCACAATTACTATTTCAGTAGTTGTAAACCTATGACAAATGGACACATTAAAATATTTTAAATAGTCACGTGTTTTCACGCAATTTATTTTAATCTATTAGTTAAAATTGAGTAATAGAATAAGTGAAATAGATCTTTAGCATTTTAATAAAAAGGGTCACTTTAAGAACAAAAGCAAAATGAAAATGAAGAAAACCCATGCAAATCCTGCTTATGTGATCCATAGGCTTTTATACCTAAAAATATAAAGGCATCGATCTTATGAACTCTGGACGGCGTTCTCATTATTGGAGTAATTTAGGAATATCACAAAAAAAAACAGGATACTCACACAAAATATTAGTCACTACAGTGACTAAGCCACTCTCGACACTAGGAAGTAAAATAAGGAGACGAGCATTATTGGCGAGTTGTAGGAAATAATATAACAATTCTAAAAGAACGGGGTAGGATAATAAAAGAACAGGGTGAAAATTTTTATGAAAAATAAGGTCTGGTGTTAAGCCAATTTTTGCCTGTCTGGGTTGCGAAGGTATCGCAATATAGTAAAAGACGTGGGTTATTTTCCGTACGAGTATTAGTTCCTGATGAGAAAGAGTCAAGATTAAGGAAAACTTTTCCTTTTATTGCGCCGGAATAACTATTATAGATGTTTATCTGGCGTTATTATAGATGTATTTCACTTGAAATTTCTTAGATGAGTAGAATAACTGATAGCGAACTATTGCATTATTCAAGTAGGGGTTATTGACTTGAGAGTTGCCGGTAAGATATCGTTCCGGTCAATTATCTGGTGTTGTATGCAAAATACAGCCTCTATGCCTAAAGAATTGATTGAATGTGACACACTTTTCAAAAACATTCAAACAACATGATTTCTATACACATTTATTTGTACGCAAATATGTATACACATGCCTATGAACGAACATTCATTCACACTACACAATAATCATAAAGGAATTACTGATTATTTAATGGCATTTAAGTTTAGTTTGTATCGTATTTCGGGAAAAGAAAATAAATATTGTGAAAAATTTAGAAACATATCTACTTGCGAAAAATTCTTTGCAAAAATACAATAAAAAAACAACAAACGTAAAACACGCAAAAAAAAAAAAACAACATTTTTTTTTTTAAATTGATTGCTTATGTCAAAAGTTTTCCTTCATAATATTTATTTATTTTCATGTAATCATACAAAAATAAAATAAAAACAGCAACATTTTTGTGGTAAAGGATGTGAAAATTATATGGAATTTTTAAGAATATGGAAAAGTGCTACTTTCATAGTTGAAAAATGAAAATAACAAGTAGGCAAACCAACAAAAAACGAAACAACAACAAAATGATAGATCGTATCAACATCTAGAATGTCTATTTAAAATTAAAGTCAAGTGTAAATGCTACTAACTTTAATTTTGTAAAACATTATAAGAAACAACACAGCAACACTAACTTGAAATTTATCCACATACCGATATTTCTGCATGCATGTGTATTTCATATGTTCAAAAATATTTTGTAAGCTATAATTCATTGACAATTCTACAATACCGAAATGACCATGATGTTAGGTGAACATAAAGCACAAATACATATGTGTGCATACGTTCATAAAATGTGAGCATTCCTTACTTTGTTATATTAACATTTTTTAACTTACTTATATTTTAGTTGAATATGAAAAATATTTTAAATCGAAAAATGGCGGTGGCTTTGATTAGTACATACTTGCATATTTTACCGTGTTAAGGCACCTACTTTTATAGTTATTACTGTTATTAATATTCATAATAAAAATTATGTTACATTTTGACAATTATTTTGCATATGTCATAATATTTTAAGCGGATATTTTAAGAAGTACAATAAATAACTAAAATATATTTGGATTTTAATAAAGGAAGTGAATTTTTGCGAAGATTTTCAAAATCAGGTCATGTTATACATGTAAAGTATCATCATTTATTTAAAGTTTTTGACTGAATTAATGCATAAAATAAATACATATTTCTTGTCAAAGTAAAGCGTCACTTAATTTAAAAAAATTTAATTATTTAATTTTGCAAATTTATTTATTTTAAAATTTAATTCATTTGAATTCGTTATTGATATTATCTCCCTGTAAATATTAAGTAGCTCTACTGCAAATAATAGTGACTTTACACCTTTATCAAAGTTAGTAACGCGACCGGTCTTAATGAGTTGTATTGTTCATTTTTCGAACTCTTTGAGTTAATTTATCAAAATCAATTTATGACCGAACTTTAATTTCAATAGGTAGGTGCTTGTTGCTGACGTAGGGCATGCGTAGAGCCACCCAGCTAAACTCACATTTCGTTCGAATAAACAAGCCTCAATTACTTCCAAATAAAAAATCGTTCTCAATTGTACAATAAAATGATTTTCATCGACCACAATACGAGTTCCGGTTTAATTTTGCGGCTAATGAGTAAACCGGAAACTAAAACGCATCTTAACGGAATGGGACATTTTTCTAGACATAAAGGAGGCTGTTTTACTGTAGATTGTTCTGTAATCCTAGGGCATTCGGGTCGTCTTTAACCTTGAGGGTTCCACTTTAAGCACATTCTACCGATATTATTGACGGGTTTTCTTAGAGTGTGTCCTATTCCTTTCGCCTTTCTTTTTTTTTTATTTATTTATAGGTAGATTCCTCGCTTGTTTTTATCAAGAGGTTTCCGTTGCTTATATATGACCTTCAAAGGGTCAATATGTTTTAGATCACCACTATGCTTGGTCGACACAACTCCAATGCGGGTGGAACCCAGCCTGCTCTGAAGTTAACATATGTATTTTTTCTAAGGCAGTTCTGGATAACTGTAACTGACCTTGTCTGCTTTAGTAGTGTGATGGCTCTCCAACTTTCACAATGAGTGAAGTTGCCCTTTTTTGACAATTTGATTTTTTCATTGCAAGCTCTTGATGAATATGATTTAAATAACTGCGCCATAGAAACGTGTCCGCTTCTGGAGGATGGTCCGCTCTGCGATGTTGAGTTGCCTGTGATGTTTGAGTTTTCTTATTGCTGCTTTAATTTTACTGAGGTTCGGAGGATCTTCAGAAATTCTTAAGTTTGCTTGTCTTCTGATTTGATTACACTCATGTGTTTCTTCGCTGGGCACATACATTGTGAAAATATCATAAAATTAATAAAAATTACAATGCAGACTTACAAGAAAGATTCAAAAAAGCAATCGTTGCCTCTTCGTTTAAGATTGCTTTACATATTATATATATCTATACATTTTCACATTCTACATAAATAATAATCTAAAGGATTTATTCATCATGATGTCATTATCCTTAAATTTTAAAAATAAATTTCTCTGGCATTCCAATTGAAAACAAAAAAGTTAAGTAAATCTGCCCACCTATTAATTTACCATATACATATTATATTGAATTTTTTAGTTTTAGCTGTGTCATGCGGCAGATTTTATTAAAAATCATTAATAAAATTTTTTCGCATCCGTAATAAATAAATAAATAAATAAAAAATCGTACATAAAAATAAAACTGTCTTTTTAATAAACAATACTTAAACTATAATTAATTTTACAACTGATTGAAATCTCAGTGTTCCAATTTAACTCCACCATATACATAGGTGGTTAGTTTAAACCAGATTAAGATTTTTATTTTCTACAGATTTCAAAGATTTTATTTGTTTATTTCTAATTCATTTTTACTGTATGAGATCTGATTTACTTTTATAAAATAAAGGAAAAATACATTTTTGAATTAAAAAAAAATGAGAATTCGCGGAATTTGAACTTTCACAATTTCTATAATATTATAATTAGTTATATTTCCTGTCAAATAATTCCGGCTTTCCTTTATTATTTATAATTAATTTAATTTTTGTCCAATAATTTATTTATTGTAATTAATTTGTGTATTCCTATAAAATTCTTGATTAAATTCTTGTACTATTTAAATGTTATACAGTTGCTTTAGGAGTTAAAATTAAACAGAAATAATGTTAATTTGAAGCAAAATAATTAACAAATTTGAAGTCAAAGTCAAAACAATTATCATTCGCTTCATAATATTGTATTCAACGTCAATAATTAAATTCAATAAAAAAATTTTGACTTTTTCGGATAATAGGTTAGAGTCTCAATATGTATGTGACATTAAACATTTAGGTACATGATGCTCTCTCATCACTAATACGGGCGTTTTCCGGCAAGTCAAATATTTGATGATCATATTAATCACGTCATTCGTTTGAGTTTGCAAATGACAATCATCTGCAATTCAGCAAATTTCGCAATTGATATTTTAAAAATTAATTTAATAAACCAGAAAATTTTAAAATTTCAAAATTAAAATGTTTCTTCGTCATTCATTCTGTCCCATATAAAATATTGGAATTCATGACGCGTAAGTTAGAATTATTATGATTAAAGTCAATTGCACGCATTTGATGTACTGGAATACGCCCTTC